TTAAAACATCTGCTTTCATGCTTAACACACTTAAAGTGAAAATTTGGGTGAAGACTATGGGATTACAATAATAATAATAATAATAATAATAATAATAATAATAATAATAAAACGATGCGTGTTAATAGCCGTTGGTTAATAACTTAACGTATAGGTAGTAAGTATTTTGTGTTTAGAAATATTAAAGTGATGAATATTGTAGAAATGTCAATAATGGTATTAGTTTTGGTTTAAATTATGAAACCAATTAACAATTATGCCGGTAACCCGTCCATATGTGATTTCCAATTGCATCTGTATTAGTAGGCCAACTGAAAGAACAAAAGTATTACCATGGAAAAGAATTCCAACTAGTGTTCCAGTTAGTTTGATACGGTTTATTTAGTTACGTGGAGATTTTCTCAACCTCGTTTTTACTTGACCGTGATAGAATTTAATAATACTACTAATACACATGAATGGTTATTAAAAGAAAATTTCAATACATGAGTGATAATTATATGAGTTTTGGACAGATAGCTAAGAACAAATCGTTAAACATGAGTGTATTCGTAAGAGACATGCTCTAGACTCAATGTTCTGAGTTGCCATAAACTATTTATACATATTTATACCTGACGGCTGATGATGCATACAAGTTAGTTGCAAGTATGCAGTTTATAATAAGGGGGAATACGATTTAATTGAGATATAGTGGTTATAAGTTATTAAAATCAGTTAAGCCTATGGGTCATATTACGAAGTGATGTGGTGCTGCAAGCTATATTTAGCTAAATAAGTTTTTACAAGATGATTAATAGTGAGTGATGCTCATGTGATTATCAGGGAGAACATAAGTTGTAACCAAGGGGAGTACACCCCCAACTCATGTCTATGATAATGGCTTGAACCTTAGTCAGTGTTGGGGTAAATTCGACATTGATGTTTTCAGTTTGCAGGAGATTCGCTCGACTGCTTATGTTGATTATTTGCATGCATTATTGTGTCGCTAAACCATCAATTAGACTGACAAGGTTTTGAGATATTTACTAAATGAGCAACTGGTAGAGAAACATACTGTAATCATCTGTAGTTAATGAAGATAAAAGAAAAACAACACTAGTGATAATTATAAGTCGATTTGATGACCGGTTATGTTATTAGTTTCATTAATATTATCAATCATATTACGTGATTGTCAAGTTATGACAATGCTTTATGACGATATCCTGAAACTATTATGTTTAACTAGTTATAGTGTTGAATGAGGATTAGTCAGTGGAAAAATAGGTATTGTTGCTTTAGGTGATTCGAGATTATCAGAAATTTGTAACGTTAAAGAATCCGAGACGCCTAATTTAATTATAAATTTCAATTCAGAAATATTCGTCTAGCGTTAGTTCTAGTAGTCTACGGAGTTTTGATTTTAAACGTTTGTTTAGCCAACAGCTACCTGAGGATTTAGTTATTTTACTAGTGCAGTTGATAGTACCTAATTTTTTAATCTTATTATCTAAACTATGTTCGCATTTTAGGCTGGTAATATGATAAACCAATTCATAAACCCAAATACGATTAGCAACAACGACTATGATGGGTTTACTGATAAATATTAAAGACGATTCAGATGATTTCTAAATCTAGAAGACATGAAGATATAGTGCAACGCGTGTGTGGGTCAGGTTAACAAGCAGGTTGTTCACGTATATGACAATTAAAAAATAATGAACACGACCAGGCTGCTTATGAAACTTCAGGCAGGAATATGACGCGTTGTAAACATTCCATAAGAAGTTACTGCATTCAGCCTAGGGACACTTACAAATATATGGCAAAAGCAACTGGAAAACATATATATGTTCAGTACAAAAAAATCATTAAGTAAGATAGTTGAACTCGCCTGGATTATTTCTAAAAATTAGATTATTCAGTGGATGACATATATAACGCCATTCGTAAGTGGTAATGATCCAAAAGTATCCAGAATAAAACATGCAGTATGGAAATTAATTCCAGGGTGCTTGATGCTGTTGAGGTTTTTGGGACTCGCTCTGATCAGAACAACTGAATGAATCCAGATAATTGTGTGTGCCATTGAATGAGCCATCTAAAATGAACTTATGATTGCAGAAAACTTATAGCTGGAACTCACCGTATTTTTTTGGAGAAGTGTCATCCTTGTTGTTTGGCAATGGAACTCGAGAATATGAAATTAGGCAGGCAGTGGTCGGAAGAAAAGATATTACAGGATAGTGCATCGTTTAAAACAGGATGAGGTGTTAAGTGAAGGAACAGTGAGAATTAGATCCAGATAACTATTTAGTCCTTGATCGCATTGTTAGTCAATGTATATTTACGCTATTTACAGGTCATATTTGCTAGAGCTTGATGTTTAAACAAGACTATGTCGCTGAAGCATGTAAATGCTATTACAGCTTGTTAACAAACCATCAAAGCTAATTAGTTAATATAGACGACCAGCTTTTATTATCAATTGAGCTAGTTTGTCATGAGGACTAATCAATATAACATTACAATGATGCATGTGAGCATTAATCAGAGGACTATTAGAATACAGGGTTAACATAAATATAAAATCGATCGAGAAAGTTGAAGTGGAAATAAGGATTAATAATAATAGGTTACCTTTCTTTAGTTGGGCTCACCAATGTAGAATTATGGTCTACTATGATATTAGTAGTGCTCTAATAATAGACCTAATCCTAAATTTGTAGATTTGTCATGATATAACTGCCTAATCTATAAGATCTTACGTGGAAGTCACACCATCGACTACACCAACTCACTGTATCGTATCAATTACCAATACATGATGTAGAACAAGGTTAGGCTAGAGAACGAACAATATATTTAATATGAATAGAAGATATAAGGTAACATTCCGCAGAGACCACGCCTGCATGGCCGAGCCATGCCACTCGATCAACTCCAGTCCATTCAATTCATTATTCGCGCCTTCTCCATTGTTAGGTATTTATCCGCGTTAAATATTGAATATCAATTTTCTGAGTAGTCTCGTGTTCAGCTTAGTGGATTGTGCGGTTATTGTTCAATGCCACTACACATTTAGGCTGGAGATACAACAATTTATTTAATATGGATGAAAGTGACAAGTTACACAAGAATGGCCATGCCCTCAAGGCTGAACCATGCCGTTCAATTGGATTGAATCAATTAAATTAATGCTTCCCGCTTTCTCCATTGTTACGACTTTCTCCGCGTTAAATGTTAGATATATATTTCTCAGCTGTCTTGTGTTCAGCTTTAAGGATTATGTGGTTAGCGCTGGACGCCATCACAGATGCTTTGATGATTATGGGTCCATGAAATTAAAACCCAATAAGTGCATTACGTGCTTCTTTGGATAGTACCAGAGCAACTCTCTGAGTGTGCGAAGCATTTTCTATTCCATGACCAGAGTACAGCAGCGTATCTCCATAATCTAACATTTTCTGTCCGGATTCGGTCCAATGGGTTTCAATGATCCCGAGAAGTGTCAAGCTGTATCTCTTCATTTCCGTTGCTATTTGATTGTTCCACCTGGTTCGCCAACTTGTCTGAACATTCCACATGCCGATATTAGTTGTTGCCCTGGTTGTTAGAACGAGCATAGCCTCGTGACTTCCGAAAAACCTCAGCTGTCTTCATGAGGCACCATAATACTTTCTTCAACTTCTAAGACAGATTTCAAGTTGTTTGATTAGTTCATTTTGGCTACTATTTTCTTAGCAAAGTTGTTTTCTATGGGATGGGGCTGCTGAACTCATGCTCGACCCTCCTCTTTCACCCACGTTTGGGACCAGCAGTAACTCTAGAAGAGCTACAGGAGGATTTATATGGTAATATACAATGAGTAAAGACGCAAGCTTGTAAATGTCACATCATGAGCATTCTGCCTCATTTGGCACAAAGCGATTACACCCTATATTAAAATCTGATCCCGTTTGTCTCCCTATAGCGTGATCTCGACCTTGCAACCATGTAGAACTTAGACACCATCTCCAACTACATAAAAGGTGCAGACAAGGCAAATGCATCTCCATACTCTGTGCAAAGATAACTTGGTTCAATAGCCCAAGAGTTGTTTCTAACACTATTTAAAATATACTCACAGCCACACCTTGAATTTCACGACGTCGTTTCATGCCTCTTTCTTCAAAAGAGATGTAAATCTCTTAGACTAAGTACAGAGACGGGCAATGAAGTGGATGATAGGGCTACAACATAAACCTTATGAAGAAGGACCCAGTACCTGGGACTATTCTCTCTGGGCTACAGAAGAACATAGGGCGACCTGGCAAACAACACATTAAGCATGTCAGTCCACCCCAACACGAGCATATCGCCAGAACACTATCACCACGCCCCTCAGATCAACTCCGAAGATTGCACACCAAAGAGCGGACACCCAAGAACCTTCTTGATTTTTCTCACTATTAGTTGCATGCATTCTAGCCGGAGTGGCCACAGCTCCATCACTGGACAGATTTGAGGGGTGACTTGACAAACATGTAATCACCCAGCTGTGTCTGGTGCATGTCTCATAAATTACCACGGTTACCGTTGCCGCATAACAGGCATCTACTTTCGATATCTCCCATCATCAAAATCGTTTGCCCACCCATTCTTTTAATCCCTTCTTCGTACACATTACCAATTAACTAATTTATTTATTCTTGAGACAATAATCTCTAGCATTCAAATCAGCACTTTATTATTTTCGCGCCACAATTAGCCAACTTTCTATTCAGCAATGGATTATTTCTGGCATCCAGAATATTTACCACCATGATAAGAACGTACTTGCTCAAACTACAAGATATATAGATCCACAAATAATTACAAAACTGACTGGAATTAGTACAGATGAGGGGCTAGACTCCCACCCACCGGGTATTACTGAACACTCAAAACCCTGCTGAAACAACACAAAGCGATCGCAAAAAAATTAATCAGTTTATAAAAGCTTGTGTCGAAGATATTGGACATTGCATTGGTTATTTTAAATCACTGACTAATTAGATCGTACGTGAAGGTCATTTATGCTGGTGATTTATGGCTGAATCGGACAAGCTAAATATCGACAGTTTGATATCGAGGCTTTTAGAAGGTATTTCGTGATAAATTTCAATTTACATATGTTTTGTGCACTTCATAGTCCGTGGGTCTCGTCCTGGGAAGAATGTGCAATTATCCGAAGCAGAAATAAGGGGCCTAGCTCTGAAGTCAAGGGAAATTTTCCTTCGACAGCCCATTCTGCTGGAACTCGAGGCACCACTTAAGATTTGTGGCGATATTCACGGACAGTATTATGACCTCCTCCGTTTGTTCGAGTATGGAGGCTTCCCACCAGATGCGAATTATTTATTCTTGGGTGACTACGTTGATCGTGGCAAACAATCCCTCGAGACAATTTGTCTTTTACTGGCTTATAAAATAAAATATCCCGAAAACTTTTTCCTTCTCCGTGGAAATCATGAGTGCGCATCAATCAATCGCATATACGGCTTTTACGACGAATGTAAGCAGAACATTTGAATTAATTTTATTATGCAGGCAAGCGGAGGTACAACATAAAGTTATGGAAGACGTTCACTGATTGCTTCAACTGCTTGCCAATAGTCGCCATAGTGGATGAAAAAATCTTTTGTTGCCATGGTGGTAGGTCATAACCTATATTTGTAAATACGTAGGCCTCTCCCCTGACCTCCACTCCATGGAGCAAATCCGTAGAATTATGCGCCCAACCGATGTCCCGGAACAAGGTTTACTGTGTGACCTACTTTGGTCCGATCCGGATAAAGACATTACTGGATGGGGAGAGAATGACCGTGGTGTGAGTTATACGTTTGGTGCAGATATTGTCACCAAGTTCCTTCACAGTCACGAGTTAGACCTCATCTGCAGAGCACATCAGGTAAGGTTAAACTCCATTATAACTACTTAAATTTGCTAGGTCGTCGAAGATGGTTACGAGTTTTTTGCCAAACGCCAGCTCGTAACTCTATTTTCTGCTCCAAACTATTGTGGAGAATTCGACAACGCAGGGGCTATGATGTCTGTTGACGAAACCCTTACTTGTTCCTTTCAGGTGAGAAATTTGTAAACTTTTTTCACCATTGCACATAGATATTAAAACCCGCAGATAAGAAAAAGTTCAACTTTCGATCTCTCAATTCCGGATGGCCTGTTACTCCTCCAAGAAACTCTAAACTCGAAGACAAATGAATTTCCACCATATCATTGTACTAATTTCCAGGGTCCGTGAAAACAATGCGAACCAGTAACTTGGTAATGTTTTTTTAAATGTACAGTTCTCAGACGTTAGATATTCAGCAACTTGATGAATATATGTTATTTATGTCCTTTATTTACTTCACTCTTGCTACGTTATGGTTAAGATCTTATAATTTAATGTTTTAAATTTCATGCTTTTCTCTACTTGCAAATTTTAACGCACAAAATCTCTATGTTTTGCCTCCATCTGGTTATTTTCAACATAAAATAATGTACAGACATCTCTGCCCTATTGTTAACTTATGCTTATCATTGTACAATAATCTCCATATGTTGTATTTGAAAATGTAGGCACCGTATTTTCATTGTACTTACCTCATTTTGTCATCGATTAGCTTTTCATCGTTATGCGCACCACAAACGTTTTCCTATTAGTTCCATTAAGATGTCTGTATAAATACAAATTATGAAATCTTACACTTGTTTCGTTATTTTGGTACCCAACGCTCGATATGCTCCCATTTAAAGTCGTATTTTAAGTCTTCAGTTTGTTAGCTGCCATAATTTGGCGTTTTCATAGAATTCCGTAACCTCACCATGATGTTTATTCGTCAAACTGTCGTCGATTCCCTTCTGTCATTGCCATCTGAAGGTATACTGAAATTTTAGACAGATATTTTAGATTTCAATAACATATGTATAAACCCAGCCAATACCACTTCGACTGAGAAGCTACAATCATGCCCGACCACCGCATACCCTGATGCGTGGTTTTGTTAGTGTATGATTAGGTTGAAAGAAAGCTTGGAGAGGTCGAACGAAAACGTTGCGTCTGTCCATGAATTTATCGACGGTTGGACTGACTTGTGTTGATAAGTTGATATTGCCTGATTGCAGTCATCGCAGTTATCATAAATAGTGATTGGAGACGTTAGGTGATATGGCTTATGATCAGTTTCAACAACTCAAATGTATTCGCTTTGTTTTCGACATGTCCTGAATATCAAAATTTCATACATTTCCTCGAATCATATTACATATACCTTATGTTTTCTACTTCTAATACCGTTGCTGCTTCTACCACTCTGAAATTTGTCTTCGTACTTTCATCTCCGTATTGTCATCCTTTATCAGCTTGAGTCGACGGACGTATGTACCAAGTCTTACGTTGCTTCTGGCGGACCAAGTGGATCAGTAATGTGTGTAGTTGTTTGAGGATAATTCCCTGTTAGTACTTCGAACTGTCAATAAAACGTAACTCAGAATTACCTGTTGCTTTCGTAAAGTGTGTCATCCGATTGTATTTTCTTATTGGACAACATTTAAGGGATTATTTTTTAATAGTTGAGGAACTGGAGCAAATTTTTGTTCTAACTGTTTTCTTTGTCAGTGACTTATCATAGGCACAAATTTACATGGGCCTTATTTGCCATACCTAGCTTGCATGGTAAGATGAAGATAAAGTAAGAGATCGAAGTAATGTAGTATCAATGATAAAAAGAAAAATTTAACCTTAGGAACATGGTTTTAAAGACACAGTAGATAGGTGTTTTTAAAGAGATATTGGAATTCAAGGTCATGAGAAAGATGAAGATTAAGCACACCTACGCCATTGTGAACGATTTTGAGCCGTGTCAGCCAGTCTCCAACTACAGTTCGCAGTTGTTACGCTGGCCCAAACCAGGTAACTTACTTCTACCAACATGTCTCCGAAAAACAATCAACGACTTCATTCAGAGTCTAATATTTTGGACCTTTTGTGAGTAAAATTGATTCCTCCGTGTTTATCACGAGATGAGTTCATATCCTTTCTTGTAGACTGGAACGATGAGCTATCGAAATCGGTCAAATGGGACTATATCCATTTTCAGGATTCTGGCTAAGATTTTAGTTGAATTGCTAGGACTGATACACCAGCCTTAAATATCTTGGGGGCCAATCCACATGCACATGCTACCCTCCCTCGTTTTAGATTACCTATAACCCTTCCAACTTCGTTAAGAGCTGGGAAACTCGTGTCGATCTTCCGTTCAGGTTAATTGAAGATAGAAAGTAACTGAAGGTTAGCTAGAGGCCAATTAAATTGTCCCCTAAAGTGTTTTCTCTATCTACCTAATGTAATATCTAGAGAGAACAGTAGTTCCTTTCTTTCAAACTGTCTCACTAACACCTGTCTTTTTATTACCCATTTCCTTGATAAGTAGATAGAATTGTCCCGTACTATCTATCTGTTTTACTGTCGTTGCCCACTTTTGCTCACAACCGTTGCGTAAATTTTCTGTGAGTTTTCGTCTCTCCTCGTCGTCCTCCAAGCCTTTCCGAACGAGTTTTTGAGTCTCCATTAATTCACTGAATGTCGCTGAAACTTACTCGTCTTTCCTATCTTTTTTATCTAAGTTGCTGATAAATGTCAACGCTGTATTTATTATTTATTTGAGCACATGAATATTGGTAAAAGAGAGCGCCAATATATATGCGCCACACAAAACAATGAGAATTCGAAAAGAAATAGAAAAAAAACTAAGGAGCGCAAAAAGAAAAAGAGAACAATAACGAAGAGATTGGTGTAAGGTAGTATGGTAGAAATGAGGGAACGGAAAAGTACAATCAGAAGAAATCTTTCAGGTAAGGGAGACAATCGCTTTTTATGAAGAAAGTAAAAGAAGGTTACAGCAGGATCGCCACTGGCTTCTATTCTGAGCCATATCTGATAACGTCTCTAGCCACTGTGTAGCACCATCTGTCAGACCCCAACCAGGGAGCCGTGAAGGACCGACAGAAGCCAGTCCTTTGCAGCTTTCTTTCATACCACGACATCATGTCATGCACTGACCACCTCTCCGCTTCTTCAAACCAGTCCCAGAGTCGGCAAATAATGCACGACGTGGAATTCTCTGGGACGACATTCGGAGAACATGTCCAAGCCACCGAAGTCGATGTTTCAAGATGGCGACACCAATTGCACTATCGTCTCTGTGCCCGAACACACGATGCCGAACCTCTGCATTACTAACATGGTGTTGCCACTGGATGTCAGCAATCCTTCGGAGACAGCGATGATGGAACACAGAGAGTCTTCTAACGTCCTCAACTCGGAGAGACCAGGTTTCACAAGCATAGAGCAAAACTGCTCTCACCGACGCGTTGTACATCCGACCTTTTACAGCCGGATTAACATCACGAAGGCGCCAAAGATGGCCCAGATTGGCATAAGCCGCTCTGGCTTTCACTATACATGCATTGATCTCATCACTCACACCCCCACCAGCACTTATGCAGCTACCCAGATACACGAACTTCTCGACTACGTCTATCTGCTCACCATCCAGGGTGAGTACAGGATTGGAAGTACTTTGCACTTCGAAGGTGCAAAGCACATACCATACCTACGGACACTGATTGCCAACTGATTAAGTGCGGATTGCATACCTTGGGCATTATCGCACAGTAAGACAATATCATCCGCATACTCAAGGTCGAGAAGTCTTTCTCCAGGCAACAGATCCACACCACCATTACTTGCATTCATCAGAGCTGTTTCCAGAATGTCATCGATGGCAAAGTTGAAGAGGAATGGTGAGATTGGGCAACCCTGCCTAACCCCACTGCTCGAATGGAACAATGGAGAGAGGTGGTTGTATGCCCTCACTCTGCCTGAGGTGTTTTTATATAGGGCTTTTAGGATGTTAATAAACTTCTCAGGCACACCCTTCTTCAATAGACAATCCCAGAGAACAGTCCTGTCCAACGAATCGAAGGCAGCCCTGATGTCAAGAAACACTACGATTGTTGGCCTTTGATAAGTATGGCGGTGTTCTAACATTTGGCGGAGGGTGAAGATATGATCAATACATCCTCGACCAGAACGAAACCCAGCCTGCTCCTCGCGAGTCAATCTTTCTCGGGTTTTGAACAACCTACGAAGTATGACGGAAGCCAATAGCTTGGACGCAATCGGAAGTGGACTTATCCCCCGATAGTTGTTACAGGAACGACGTGAACCCTTTTTAAAGATAGGGACAACTATCGACTCATTCCATGACGTTGGTACACTCTCTAGTTCCCAAACCTTTGTAAACAACGTCGTCAATTCCTTAGTCAAAAAGTCACCACCATCTTTAAAAAGAGCTGGAGGTAAGTCATCTGGGCCAGGTGATTTTTAACGCTTCAAGAGTTGGAGTTCCTTGCGGACTTCCTCCTCGTTTGGTTGATCAGTCGTCACCGGCCATGGAGGGCAGGACAGTCTGACCGATGTTGCCGGAGCAGCAGGCCAGTTGAACTGCCCTTCGAAAAATTCTGCCCATCGTCCAAGACGTCGATGGATGTTAGTGATTGGCATCCCATCATCGCAGATTGTTTCACTCACACCAGACTTCTTGCTGCCAGTGGCTCGGATGGGTTGGAAGAGCTTCCGGTAATTACCAGATGCAGCTGCTGCTTCCAGCTCATTAGCATGCTTCGACCACCAGGCTTCTCGGTCCTTACGCAAGCTTTGCCCAATTTCCTTACATAACATCCTTCGTTTATGGTCAAACTCACGGTCACCCGGAGTAGACCGACGGGCTTCAATGAGTTGTAAGGAACCTGCAGAAACCCAGTGCTTATAAGCGGGACGTTTCGCGAACCCACAACTGACTGTTCAAGCCATTTTCATAGCGTCATGCAATTGCAACCAATGCTCATCTATAATTTTCGGTGGAGTGGTAGCTAACCTAGAGGCTAGCTCGGTTCGATACTTACTTGCAACAGAAGTTGCAACCAGCTTGCTAATATCAATCCGTTGATGGCGGTCACTTCATTGTCCACTGAAAAGTAAGGTAAGATTGGCGCAGACCAAGGCATGGTCAGAGTCCAGATAGGTACTCCAAAAGGAGCGGCAATCTTGTACACAACCACACCAGCGGTAGCTGATCGCGATGTGATCAATATGAGTCCAGGCTTGAGATGCAAAGGGAGGACGCCAGGTGGCACATCAGCGATGACTGTGCCGAAAGTTAGTGGTAGCCAGAAACAGGTTGTGGTCTGTGCACAGTTGCAGTAGACGGTCCCCGTTATCTGACCTGCGACCAACGAGTCCCCATCGGCCACCTAAACGACTCTCTTCTGTGCCTAGACGCCCGACCTGAGCATTCAAGTCTCCGGCTAGTACTACAATATCTGTCGAACGCACTTCCTGGAGAAGAACAGATAACTGGTGGTAAAACTCATCCTTGATTGCATCCGGGCTGCAATCTGTCGGGGCATAGGCGGAGATGACGAAAAGACATCGTTTCTCACGCCGATTTCTTCTCACTTTGATGGAACTTTCCAATCTAACAGCACATAACCGACTGTTAATGGGGATCCAATCGATTAGTGCTGCCTCAGCTCTAGCGCTTAGTGCGACACCAACGCCAGCAAGACCAGACAAAGATGCCACAGGGTCCCCAGGTAAGCGCACGTAAAACAAGCTTTTCGAAGCGACAGATGGAGATCGA